CATCAACTGTTAAAACATCTAAGCTGCAGATGCTAGCCACGAGATTTGAGAGTCTTCATATGGAGGAGGACGAGACGATTGCTGATTTCCACGCTAAGCTGTGTGATATTTCAAATGAATCGTATGCATTAGGTGAACAATACTCAGAAACAAAGTTGGTAAGAAAGGCACTACGTTCATTACCAGAAAGATTCGCTTACAGAGTTGCAGCAATCGAAGAAGTGAGAGATATCAATACGCTAAAGCTAGATGAACTCATGGGTAAACTGCAAACCCAAGAAATGAATTTTAGAGCAAATATTCGAGAAAAGAAAAAGGTGAAGAATGTGGCATTCCAAGCTGAAGCTTCCCATGGCATCTCACAAGGCCAAACATTTCATGAGTGTGACATTGATGTTGAAGAATCCTTAGCAATTATGTCAAATAACCTCGAAAGCCTGCGTCAAAAAATTGAAAATAGAGAAAATTCCTCTCAATCAGGTAAGTCTGTTAACCCTAACAAATTTAAAAAGTTTTCTAATAATGGTTATTCTGGTGATGCAAAGTGTAGGAGATTGCAATGTCGAGAGTGTGGGGGTTTTGGACATATTCAGGCCGAGTGTGCGAACACTTTAAAGAAAAACAAGATGTCACTCACCACTGTTTGGAGTGATAAAGAGGACAGTGATGAGGATGAGAACAACAAAGAAGATCAAACCACTAACTTTATGGCATTCAATGGTACTACTTCAATGAGCAGAACCGAGGGAACTGTTGCAACAGTCTGTCCGACAGATTTCAGGTATGATGAATTATCTTTAAATAAGGACAATAGTCTGACTTCACCATTTAATTTTGCAGGTGAATCTGAGAGCAGTAGTGATGATGAAGAGCCAACCCTCGAAGAGGTGAAAGATGTATATGAAAAAATGTACCGGAAGTGGCTTGAAGTATCTGAGGTAAATAAGCGCCTTGAAAATGATAAGCATGTTCTCATAGAGGAAAATAAAGTGTTGAAGGTAAGAATTTCTACTCTTAAACAAAATGTTATTTCTTCTAGTAGAGAAATAGATAGCTTGAAGGCTCAATTTGCTCAAACCCAAGATGTTATTTCTAAGTTTAATACTGATAGAGTAACTTTGAATGAAATTTTGAACAAAAATCAGCCGAACTACTGTCGTATAGGTATAGGGGGTAACCAGCTATCTACTGGTGCATCGAAACAGAAAGAAAATCCTAAAAGAAAAATCAATTTTGTTAAGCAATCCACTGTTTCACAGACTGCTGCGACAGTTGCACCAACACAGCCATTTCAAAGAAAAGTTTTTGTTCCTACCTGTCATTTTTGTCATGTTCCTGGTCATATACGACCCAGGTGTTTTAAGTACTTGAAAATGGTTAAAAGAATAATGGCCCGCTCACCACTTTCCGCTAAAATTGATCACACTTTTGTGTCGTCTCAAAAACCCAAGATAAAGGTTGATTTAGTGAACAAAACTCAACAAAAAATCTGGGTAAAGAAGTCTGATATTAATTGTTTATCTGCCATTACTTCTTTAAACTCATGTGATGATAGTACTAACTGTTCCAACAGTTCTGGTGACAAAGCTAGTTTGGGGAATAAAAAACTTGGTAATCTGAATTGTGATAATTTGTATGCGAAAAATAAGTTTTTGAATCCAATTCAGCATTCGAGAACTAAGCTTACTGATATTTGTCATCTTTTCATAAAGGGCTTGGTTGAAAAGGGGGCTGTCTCAATTGATTATGCTGCAACGGAGAATGAATTAACTGATGCTTTTGCAAAAACCCTTGATGCACAGAGATTTGATTCCTTGCGAAAATCGCAGGGAATTTATGTTGCTTAATCTGATGCAGTTGCATGAACTGTTGCAACAGTCTGTGTGTCCACACTTGCAACTTTTAGTGGTAGGACACTTCATATGTTTTTGCATCTCATATAGGATCTGCATTAAGCATACTGCATCTGATTGAGACAAATGTGAATTTGATGCTTCATGTACTTCTAATCTTTGTGGGGGTAGAACTTCACCAATTCCCAAAATGATTATTTAAAAGGCTCCAACTTATTTATTTCTCTGAATAGTCTTGTCATGGTTGGATGTTTTTATAGGGAAAAGCTGCCTCTTTTAATGAGTGAAAGCTACTCTTGAACTACTGTTACTAATATATATATATATATATATATATATATATATATCTACAACCATTTGGTCAGTGAATAGTTCGAAGCCTTTTTGAGTCGAGCCAGTAAATTACGTGGCCGAAAGCTCGCTACAAGGCTCAATTAGAAAGCCCAGGGGACTACACATTGTACGGCCAATATAAATTATATATATGGTCAGTGAATAGTTCGAAGTCTAGTTGAGTCGAGCCAGTAAACCACTTGACCGAACACTTACTACAAAGCTCAATTAGAAAGCCCAGGGGACTACACATTGCACGACCAGCATAATCTCGTTCCTTTTAATTGCTCTATTTTTCATGGGAAAAAGCTACCATTAGACGTGTGTGTACGCTACTTAATAAGATTTGCCTGGGGAGCTGACTTGGGATTATTAAG